TTATAGAGATTTGACAAACAAGTAAAATATTATGGGTTTTGTTTTTTTTTTTGCATCTCCTTTCTGCTAGTTGCTGCACAAGCCACAAAATGCTTGCCCCAAGCTTCAGAAATTGAAGTAGAAACAGGTCCATACTTTGGTGGAAAAATTGTTGTTGATGGCGGCAAATGTGGTGTAAAGGGAAATCAAAATGATCCAATCGATCGTTATACGATGCGAATCGATCACACAATGTGTGGCAGTTTAGTGAAGCCGGAAACGAATACAGTTGAAACATTTATAACGGTGCAGGAGAATTTGGGCATCTACACGCACAGCACAAGAAGGTGAGTAAGTAAGGAGGGACAATAATTATATAGGGAAGGAATTATTTTAGTGGTAAAGTTAGATATACACATACATATTACTTCTTGGAAAATAAGTCTACTGGAGTTCTTAGAAAATATATACTAGCAACTTTCTAAACAAGAATTTATCATTAAAGCAGTTGAAGTTAAATTATTAGGGGATGTAGAGCTTTATGAAGTATATTCCATACCAGTCTAAACGAGACCAAAATAGCTTAGCCTCTTTCTATTTCAGAGCTCATGCAGATCCGTGCATTACCGCAGTAACTACCACGTTAAGGTATTACCTGACCTTTTGCGAAACCATTATCAAATATAAGCTATAACCTAACTTGCAGCATAGCTTTCAGAGTGTATACCGAGGGTAATTTTGAAAGGCATACAATTTATACTTCGAGCCATACCAAAGCGCAATATTAGGTACGGGCAAGGTTCCCCACTGGCTCCGATTAAAGCAGCCCAATTTGGCGTTTTCGTTTCTACAAAAAATGTTGCCTTTTCATTGCCCGGTTATTAGTGTTTGTGCTTAGAGGGCAATGAGAAGGTAAAATTTTTCGGTAGAAACTAAAACGCCATTAGATATTAGTTAAGCTGTCAGTTGTGTTACCACAATGTATAATTCATTCAACGTTAACTGAACGTAAACCGTGTGAACTTAGCAAAGGTGCTGGGGGTCAAAATAAAGTTCCGCCGGCAGCTTATGTCCACTCGGAGGGTTTCTCGGGGGTGTTGATTAAGTGCGAGACTAAGAGTTTAAACCTCAGCCTAGTAAAAGTCGGGCAGCTGAGAAGGAAGTGTTAATTTGATTACACCTCGTCCACCAAAGAGATGCGACATTATGGGTTCGCGAAGACATTAAGTCTCACCGCATGCGTCAGTATACCAAATATTAATTAAAATAATTGCTTAAAATCTCTTCAGCTTATTTAATAGTTATAACAATAACTATACCAAATGTCATTATCAAGTTTTTAATGAAATGTAGGGGCATTGGTTTAGGCGCTGTAGCTGACACAATTATCGAGCGATAACTTTCCTCGTTGGAGTGTGTATAGAGCCTCTCAGAAATGTGTTTTGCGCTTGGCCCGCTACGCAAAAACAAGTTTTCTTTCATTGAACTGAAAAAAATGTCTCGGAAAACTCCCCCCAAACGGTGGGATATGCACTTGGTTGAATGTCCAGAAGCTCTAAGGGAATATGCCTTTATCCAATGAATGTATTCATCCGGTACAAGTCTGACATCACCGAGATCCAGGAAATGCAATAGTTGGACGCTGCAGCATAAAGTATGCAGCGTATGACGTTTACTATAGACGCCATGAGACGTTGCATAAACTGGGTGTGGGAATTATGGTTGTGCATAGACTACGTGACCTTGCCACCAGGTTCAGAACAAATCAGTGAGTGAATTGCCACGAACCGCATCAAAGCTGAATTCAACAACATACGACTAATTTTTGCGTATGTTCCAACGGGGCAGAAGGACGATGAGACTGAAGAGTTCTAAAAATCTCTCATCATACACTCGTATGGCGCATTAAAGAGAATTATTTATGCTCGCGTGGTCGACTGGTACTGAACTGTAAAATCTTTTTAACGCCATGACGCGTCATGGCGCATAAAAACCGAATGATTTCGCTGGTTTGGGAACCAGCTGTTCTAAACTTGCTCCTTCCATTATGTACGTGGGCGCCCTTTTTTGCGTTGTGCACACATGGGTGGTGTCGAGAGGAAACCTGTTTGTATCGGAACTCATCATCCTTGCATACGTCACGCCCAAACTAGCGCATTCTTTTTTTTTGATGCGCTTAACTATATCCATGTCGTTAAAAAACTCGCATTCCATCTTCTTCGGTAGTCGTCGCCCACGCAAACATGGCTATAGATCTTGGGTAGAATAATTCTCTCGAAAGCGCCCAAAGCTTTCTCATTTTTTTTGACATCGTCCATGTTTCTGCGCCATATAAAAGGACGTGTATGATTAGAGATTTGTAGAGCGTGATTTTTGTTCGCCGCGAAAGGGCTCTACTTTTCAATTGCCTACCGAGCTCAAGGTAGCACCAGTTGGTAAGAGTTGTCATTCGTTTGATACCTGGTTGACATCGTTGATTGTTCTAATGCCGGATCTTAGTAGGTAACGTACTTCATTGAATTTCCTACAAATTTGTTTGGCCCCTATGCCAAAAAACGAGAACTTCATAAAAAAATTTGAGTTTAGTGACCCGTACTAACGCGCTTGAGCTGCATACCTCTTAAGAAAAAACTCGAAGTTTACGTGTATTTTATATGGGAAATTTTGCACGCCTTGGGCGAGTACTTAATGTTAATACTAAGGGTTCAAAATTTCAGGTGGTTTTTTTTAAGGTGTTTTCCACAAAATTTCGAGGTAGGAGTGGGAAAAATAGTAGCAAACAAAAAGCGTCCTAATGCACATCTTCTTCTTCTTTTTTGGCGATGCAACCGCCTAAGCGATTTTGGCCAAGTTCAGCAAAGAACGCCAGTCGTTTCTCTTCTGTGCCAACTGACGCCAATTGGAAACGCCAAGTGAAGCAAAGTCCTTCTCCACCTGATCTTTACTTCGCAGTGGGGACCTCCCTCTTCCTCTGCTACCACTAGCGAGTTCCGAGTTGAATACTTTCAGAGCTAAAGCGTCGGTGTCCATTCAAACGACATGACCAAGCCAGCGGAGCCGCTGTATTTTAATTCGCTGCACTATGTCCATATCGTTGTAAAGCTCATACAGCTCATCGTTCCATCGTCTGCGGTACTCGCCGTCGCCAACGCGTAAAGGCCCGTAAATCTTTCTCTCGAACACTCCAAGAGCCGCCTCATCAGATGTTATCATTGTCCATGCTTATGCGCTATATACCAGCACGGGCATGATGAGTGACTTATAGAGTGTGACCTTTGTACGACGAGAGAGGACTTTACTCCTGAATTGCCTACTCAGTCCAAAGAAGCACTTGTTAGCAAGACTGATTCTGTGTAGGTTTTCCATGCTGATATTTTTATCGGTGATAATGCTGGTTCCCTAGTAAACGAAATTCTCCACTTTCCCGAAATTATAACTGTCAACAGTGACGTGGGTTCCAAGGGGCGAATGCGCTGACTGTTTTTTTTTATGACAGGAGATACTTCGTCTTGTCCTCGTTTACCACCAGGCGCATTCGCTTTGCTTCCTTATCCAGCTTGGAAAAGGCAGAAGAGACATCGCGATTTTTATTACCGATGATGTCGATGTCATCGGCATAAGCCAGCACGCTCTTGTAGTAATTTATTCCTGAGCGGTTCAGTTCTGCAGGCCTAATTATCTTCTCCAACATCAGATTAAAAAAGTCACATGAAAGGGAGTCGCCCCCTCTGAAACCCCGTTTAGTGGCGAACGGCTCGGAGAGGTCTTTTCTAATTCTGATGGAGCTGGTGGTGTGGCTCAACGTCATTTTACACAGCCGTATGAGTTTTGAGGGGATGCCAAATTCAGACATAGCGGCGTATAGGCAACTCCTTTTAGTGCTGTTAAAAGCGGCTTTAAAGTCGACAAATAGCTGGTGAGTGTCGATCCTTTTCTCGCGGGTCTTTTCCAAGATTTGGCGTATTGTGAATACCTGGTCTATGGTGGATTTGCCAGGTCTAAAGCCACACTGATAAGGCACAATCCGTTCATTGACGGTAGGCTTCAGTCTTTCACACAATATGCTCGATAAGACCTTGTAACCTTTGCTTGGAAGGCTGATCCTCCTGACCAAGAGTTGATGCATGCACCTTATCAACTCCTCGCTGCCGTACTTGAAAAGCTAAGCTAGCGGCAGGATCTCAGCTCCCGTAGCTTTGATGTTTTTCAGCCGCGTTATTTCTATTCGTACCTCGTCATAGTCAGGCGGTGGAACGTCCACTCCGTCATCGTCGACTGCGGGCTCGGGTTCTTCTTCGCCAAAACTTTTCGTGCTGCTACCATTCAGTAGGGCAGAGAAGTGTTCCCTCCATCATTTAAGTACGCTCTCGACATCGGTTACTAGGTCGCCATTGTTGTTCTTACAGGAGTACGCCCCGGTCTTTAAACCTTTCGTAAGTCGCCTAACTCTCTGGTAAAATTTTCGGGCATTATTCCTGTCGGCCAGCATTTCAAGCTCTTCCTACTCAAGTATTCCGGCCTCTCTCTTCTTATTGCGACAAATACGTCTCGGTTCCTATAGCGGTCCCACATAGCGCGTGTTGCTCCCGATCGTAGCGTGGCCCTGTAGGCTTCATCTTTTTTCTCTGCACCTTCCTGACACTCCTCATCATACCAGTTGTTCTTTGCCGTGATCGTCATCATAAGGGGGGGGTCTCATCCGAGGCTTTGCCTTGCTTCTTCACTGGAAGTGGCTTTTAGGTGGCGGGTTCCAAACCCAGCGCACAACCCATTGCTGGGACGGGGGTGGTTTCGCTACCAAATACACGTTTACATAGCGAGCCGCTTGCTCCAAGCAGACACCCGCT